GGAGTCCCCATCCCTGGAAGTATTTAAAAGACATGTAGATGAGGCGCTTAGGGACATGGTTTAGTGGGCATGGGGGGGTTGGGTTGACGGTTGGACTCGATGATCTCAGAGGTCTTTTCCAACCTTAATGATTCTGTGATTCTATGATTCTATGATTCTATGGTTGCTGCTCTCTCTCTTGCAGGACCAGGCGATGGGGAACTGGCAGATCAAGCGGCAGAATGGAGACGATCCCCCCATCACCTACCGCTTCCCCCCAAAATTCACCCTGAAGGCTGGCCAGATGGTCACGGTGAGTCACTGCCCGGTGAAGGATCCAGCAGAGATCCCAAACCCAGCCGGTCCATCGGTGACACGGAGCGGTTGGAGCCAGGGCGCAGGCACCTTGGCGCGTGGCTTTTTTTTGGGGGGGGGGGGACAGACCCGTGTCTCCGGGGTCTGGGCTCTGCAGACCTGAGACGTTGCTTTTCTCTGTGCTTTTCTCCCTAGATCTGGGCCTCGGGGGCTGGGGCCACCCATAGCCCCCCCAGCAACGTGGTGTGGAAAGCCCAGAGCAGCTGGGGCTCCGGGGACAGCCTGCGCACCGCCCTGATCAACTCCAACGGGGAGGTGAGAGCCCGGTGGCAGCACCGACTCGCGGCACCGGGGGGCAGACACCGGACCCCCCCCAACTCCTTTCCTGTCCCCCCCGCAGGAGGTGGCCATGCGGAAACTGGTCCGCACCGTGATCATCAACGATGAAGATGAGGATGAGGACGACGATGAAGTTAACATCCACCACCGCCATCACCACGTGAGTACCGCGCTGGGGAAGGCACTGGTCCCAGGGGGATCTGTCGCAGGGATGCTGGGGGAGCTCAGGTCCGGTCCCAGTCAGGGTGGGAGGCAGCTCAGCATCACGCAGGATCAGGCCTTATGGGAGAAGGCATTTGGGAGGCTGCTGTGGAAACAATCACACGGGAGAAGCCAACAGACTTCTGGCACTTGGAGAAGATTACTGCTTGCCAAAAAAGCTTTAGAGACCTTGCTGGAAGTCATCTCCAACCCTGAGCAACCTGGACCTGCCTCGAAAAGGGCTGGAGGAGCCACAAGGGAGGCTGAGCTGGTACCTCGCATCGCCTGGAGGTGGAGGACAGGATGGTGGGAAGTTGATGGACGACACTTCTCCGCGGCAGCTGCTCCATCCTCTCCGCTTCACGAGGGTGCTGGAACAAATCCAGAGGTGACTTTGTCCTTCCTCTCAGCCCATCGCTCCCCTCACGGAGCTGATATATACACTAGGAAGAGCAGCGGGCAGAGAGCAGGCAGCGGGCAGAGAGCAGGCAGCGTGCCAGGAGCACCCTTCCCCCCATATCAAAGAAAACGTCCCTGGCTGCAGCCCAGGAGCCCCCGCCAGCCCGACCCGCAGGGAGAGATCTGTCTTGCACACGAGATGCCCACAGGAATCATGCACGGAGAGATGCCGTCACTGTCACGCTGTGCCTCCACACCGGTGAAAAATCTGCCAGATGCCGCTCCCCGGGGTTCTGTGTGACAGGAGCAGGATTGGGGCATCCATCATCCGCTTTCCTTTGAGTTCTCTGGATCCGAAGAGTTGTGCCGAGACGGATATCGATTATCCCTGGGCGGAGGAGCCAAGCTCCTGCAGGCCAGTGCTGCCCATTCGTCTGGGGGCTGAATCCTTTCCAAGAGCGAATTTCCCGTTGGAAAGCAGTCAGCCTGCACTCTCCCAGGCAGCGAGGAAGAGGATGCTCTTAGATAAGCTCAGGAGAAGCACAGTTAAGATGTCTCCCGTGTGCTGAAAGCCCGGGGTGCAAGGACAGGGCAGCAGGGACAGTTCACCCATCTGCAGTGTGCCAGCCCCAGTAATTTGGGATTATA